TCATCCGTGCGATCAAATCGCCCAAACAATATCATAAATCATCAAATTAGGCCTCAAGACCCATGATTTTCTTCCAAATTTCCATAAAACATCAAGTTTAGACTTTCTAGTTCAAACACGTCAAATGATGCCCGATTTCGACCAAACTTTACAGAAAGCTCTTAACACATATTTAAGACTTGTTTCGGGGCGTCGGAACCAAAATACGAGCCCGATACCATAGTCTTTTAATAAATTTTCATTTCCACTTTCCTTAATAATTCCAGAAAAACAATTTCACAGAAAAATTCTTTTCCTCGGGTTCTAGACCTCGGATTTCGACTCCGGGCACATGCCCGAGTCCCATATTTTTCTACGGACCCTCCGGGACCGTCAAATCACGGGTCCGGGTCCGTTTACCAAAAATATTGACCGAAGTCAACTTTAATCATTTTAAAGCCACATTTTAAAATTTTTCACAGAATTTAACATATAATATTTCCGGCTACGCGCCCGGACTGCGCACGCAAATCGACGCAACTAAAGGTGAGGTTTTCAAGGCCTTGGAAGCACGGAAAAAGAGAGAAATCCGGTGATGACCCTTTAGGGTCGTCACACTATGTTGGAAAAGCAGACTAGAAAATGGAGACCCTATGTCTAAAAATAAAATCTACTAGGGAGTGGAGACCCTATGTTGGAAAGGCGACTAGGGAGTGGAGACCCTATGTCTAAAATAAAACTCAACTAGGGAGTGGAGACCCTATGTTGGAAAGGCGACTAGGGAGTGGAGACCCTATGTCTAAAATAAACTCAACTAGGGAGTGGAGACCCTATGTTGGAAAGGCGACTAGGGAGTGGAGACCCTATGTCTAAAAATAAACTCAACTAGGGAGTGGAGACCCTATGTTGGAAAGGCGACTAGGGAGTGGAGACCCTATGTCTAAAATAAACTCAACTAGGGAGTGGAGACCCTATGTTGGAAAGGCGACTAGGGAGTGGAGACTCTATGTCTAAAATAAACTCAACTAGGGAGTGGAGACCCTATGTTGGAAAGGCGACTAGGGAGTGGAGACCCTATGTCTAACATAAACTCAACTAGGGAGTGGATACCCTATGTTGGAAAGGTGACTAGGAAGTGGAGACCCTATGTCTATGTTGGAAAGGCGACTAGGGAGTGGAGACCCTATGTCTAAAATAAACTTAACTAGGGAGTGGAGACCCTATGTTGGAAAGGCGACTAGGGAGTGGAGACCCTATGTCTAAAAATAAACTCAACTAGGGAGTGGAGACCCTATGTTGGACAGGCGACTAGGGAGTGGAGACCCTATGTCTAAAAATAAACTCAACTAGGGAGTAGAGACCCTATGTTGGAAAAGCGTTAATAGAGATTGGGGATCCTAGGCTACCATTTTTTTTTTGAATTTTCTTCTTATCTCTTTTTTTTCATTTATTATTTCATGGAATGAGTAAATGGGGGGAAGAATTTGGAGGGGACTTCCCTTTATGGGTCGTTGCTGCACCTGCTTCTTGCAAGGTTGCTTTGAATTGCACCTGTTTCATGTTTTCAAACAAAGAACAATGGTTAGTTTGAAACGGTGGTTGGTTTTGTGGCCTTGATTGTTTTGATCTTGGCCCAACTCTTTTGATGAAGACCTCTACTGCTCGCTGGCTTTCTGGAGATCGACCTCTCTTCTAAAACCAGGAACCTTGACATTCCAAAATTTCCATGATGTTTCACCCGTGTGGGGCTTTGGCCTTTCCATCTTATTCTGCCTTTATGGGCACTTGACTTTGGATTTCTTTTCTTTTCAATAACTTGAACCTGGGGCATCGGCCATCATGGCCAGTCGAGATCGACTTGATGCGCCTGCTGAGGCTAGGTGCTTTTCTCTGGATTTGGCTTTTGTTAAGCAGAACCCTGTAAAACCAATCTTGCCATCTTTTCTTTGTATCAGTTTCGAAGAGGGATTAGACCGAAAGGGACTCAAAGGACAGGATAATGAATTTAACAAGAGGTGTCCCTTTCCGGGGAAGAAAGAAAGACTTATCTGGAGTGCATGCAGACTTCAATAGACATGACATGCTTCTTGGACTGGATACCTGATCTGTGCAACTATCCAACTTCTCATAAACCCATTATGACTCGTGTTTTAAAACCGGGAAACCTTGCCAGGACTCTTTCAGTGCCAATGGATGTAGGGGATTCCCTCTTTTCGATCAGTGGAGCCCTTTGCGGGTTTTCGCCAATTGACCTCTCTCATTTCTCTTCTTACCGTTGCCTTATAGTGCTCTTTGCGAGTTTTCACTACAAGACTCTCTCGTTTTTCAGTTTCTCTGCTTACCATCGTCTTGCGGTGCCCGTGTGGGTTTTCACCAACAAGACTCTCTCATTTTATTTTCTCCCATTTTGATTGCATCTGATCCAAGTAGCTGCATTCTCCGATTCTTGAACGTTCTCACCGATAGGTCGGAAGGACTTGAACAGGGCTCGGGGTAAAAAGAATTTGGCTTGAATTATAACTTTGGAACCTTTCAGGCGAACCGTCGCCGGATCATTATAACATCTGCCCCAGTTTCACTTTTTGGGAAAATTGGATTTTTGTTTTGGTGTGACTGAACCCCAGAGAGAGGCTGCCTACGTATCCTTTCTGAATCAAGTCGAACGTAGTTCAGGGAACTTTTGTTTTTGGT